CGTATTTTAAAGAGCAACTGTCTTTGCTCGCCTTCTTTATCGAAGATCTGAAGTTGATGATTGCTTCTCAATGAGCAGAGTCTGCATAATTCAGCGAAATTGAAGTCCTCGTTCATTGCCATTCTTTCGTATCGTGGTTAAACACAAACGCTGGACAATTGTTAGGTTATGCTGCCCGTGGGTTTTCGTTTTCACACACTTGGTCGATCTAACAGAGGTTACCATAAACGCGGCACAAAACTACAATTCGAGGATGTATCGGCAAATAAAAATTGTTTAAATCCCGGCAAACGTTAAATAACACAAATTTCTAACTAAAATTAAAGTAACGCCGCCATTTCTTTCTTCCTGTTTCGCTGTTGTCCAGCACGCAGGATGCCTGACTCCACATTGTTTGACGCTAGACTATCTGGTGGGTGGAGGACATACTAATCAAGGGTTGCGTACGATGGTAAAACAGTTTTAAACCTAGATCACGGAGGTAAGAGTATTTTAAATAAATTAGTTAACTATAATTAAGTAATTTAAAGCACAGATAAAGTGCAAAATAGACCTATCGTCAAATGCATTTTTTTATCAACGTCAGAAGCCTCATTACCATTTTCGCTTCACTTCCAACGTTACCGATTCAGCACAGAATAAAATTACAACCACAAACGATACCTGGTGATAGCACAAACGAGGTTTTACCCTTAAGGGTAATTTATTTCGTTAAAAACGAATTTACCCTTAAGAGTTTGTTAAATATTTTAACAGTAATAAATCCATTAATCTGTTATTGTATTTTACAAGATAAAAATAAATATGATACATTACTGAATTTGAAATAAACTGCAATCATTTCCTTGTTATATATCAATTTATCAGTTAAAAATTAATTTAGTTTAAATATTGATGAAAGTATATTGCACAATTACGAGAAATATTAAAATTCGACTTTTAAAGTAGAAATGTTTGTTTATAAAATTATTAATAATGTTAGGCAAATTAATTTAATTACTATTCGTTACTATCAACTGATAATAACATGAATATTTAAAAAAAAAAACATTTTTATATAACTACTCAAATAAATACTGAACAAATAAGTATAATACAAGTAAAATATTGATCACAAAGGAAGGATAATATCCTGATTTCGGATTTGATTACATGATACAGACTTACAAATAATTCATGTCGCCGTTTATATTTGTAGTATAAATTGACATGACATAACTGCACGAATACATTATTCATTAATAATGAGAACTGATGGCGTTGCAAAATTCTCCCGTTTCAGTATAAAACTGGAATATATCAGCATTTCTTTATTTCGCCTTGCAATAGATACCAGTTCACATGAAAAACAAAATATTCCATACACTAATGTTAAATTAACTAATAGTTGCTCTAAGTATTATTGATTCAAGTACTAATAAAAATTATTAATGGTAAATAAAATTTTCAAATAAACATAATTCCTAAACAATGTTTTGTTATCACATCTGTGGAGCTGTTTGCATTGTTATTGGCATATTTATTGTGTCGCGTCAATTTATGTGGACCGAAGTAAGAAAAAATATATTAACGGTAAGTTACATTTTCATTTTTCATTAAGTATATTATATTTATATTACACATATTTCATAATTTAACAAATTATTGTTAAAATAATATTACTTAATGATAATAATTTTTAATTGTCGCACGATAGATTCCCATTCGAATTGTTCGATTTTTTTACACTGTGAAAAATTAAAAATCACTTCTTAATATTGTATTAATTATGAAATCAGACTGGACAATAAAAATTTGCAGAAATTACCACTTATCGAAGGCACAGAAACGTACAAAGTTTGGTTATCACCTACACTTTTAACATTTGGGTGTTATCTATTTAACGTTACGAATCCAGATGGTGTTATGAGAGGAGAGAAACCACATTTGGCCGAATGTGGCCCTTTCATGTACGAGTAAGCGAAACAAAAATTCAAACTCGTTGCATCAAAGAAATATTTATCGAATTTCTTTTAATACTTTCAACGTTGATTAATATTTGCTAATCTTTCCTTTACATGTGTACTTATAGCGAAATATATGGAAGATACGTATTAGATGTCGACAAAGAAACGGACGAAATTAAGTATGTGACAAAGTCATTATACAGTTTTAACAAGGAATCGAGTATGACTGTATCTAGGCAGGATAAAGTCACTATATTAAATCCAGCATACGTTGGTACCATAGCGTTGGTAAGTAATACTGAGCACGACATTGATAATTGATTCCTTAAATGACTTTATCATTTTTACAAATTATATTTTTATATATTTAGTGGATTGAGAATATTTTTTACATAACCGTCCCGTATATAATTTTTATAAGTTTGAAGTTCAAAGTAGTAAATGCACGATTGATCTAAATATTTAGTTTCCTATTTCAAAACTTGTTAAAATTTACAAAATTTAGACTCCCATTTCGTTACTTCACAATTTATAAAATTTAGTTCCCCATCATAAAGCTTTCGAAAATTTTTAAAATTTCGATTCCTGCTTCGTTACTTTAAAATCTATAAAATCTAGATTCCT